CTGCCTGCTGCTGCCTGCTGCTGCCTCTGCTGGTGTCTGCTGCTGCCTGCTGCTGCCTGCTGCTGCCTGCTGCTACCTGCTGCTGTCTGCTGCTGCCTGCCTGCTGCTCCTTGCTGCTGCCTGCTGCTGGTGCTGCTGCTGGTGGCTGCTGCTGCTGCTGTGGTGCTGCTGCAATCAAACAGCCTCCAAACCAAGAAACAAACAGCCAGACACCCTTTTCGAAACACATCCGAAACAGCAAAACACCACCTAATTTCGTGCCCAAAACGTAGCAAAGGAACCCCAAAAAGGGCCTAACGTCACTTCTGAAACCCTACTATAAAATTGCAACTTTGCCGCTGCCTGCCGCTGCCTGCTGCTGCTTGCTGCTGCCTGCTGCTGCCTCTGCTGGTGTCTGCTGTGCCGCTGCCTGCTGCTGCTTGCTGCTGCCTGCTGCTGCCTGCTGCTGCCTGCTGCTGCCTGCTGCTGCCTCTGCTGCTGCCTGCTGCTGCCTGCTGCTGCCTGCTGCTGCCTGCTGCTGCCTGCTGCTACCTGCTGCTGTCTGCTGCTGCCTGCCTGCTGCTCCTTGCTGCTGCCTGCTGCTGGTGCTGCTGCTGGTGGCTGCTGCTGCTGCTGTGGTGCTGCTGCCATCAAACAGCCTCCAAAGCAAGAAACAAACAGCCAGACACCCTTTTCGAAACACATCCGAAACAGCAAAACACAACCTAATTTCGTGCCCAAAACGTAGCAAAGGAACCCCAAAAAAGGGCCTAACGTCACTTCTGAAACCCACTATAAAATTGCAACTTTGCCGCTGCCTGCCGCTGCCTGCTGCTGCTTGCTGCTGCCTGCCGCTGCCTGCTGCTGCCTCTGCTGGTGTCTGCTGGTGTCTGCTGTGCCGCTGCCTGCTGCTGCCTCTGCTGGTGTCTGCTGCTGCCTGCTGCTACCTGCTGCTGCCTGCAGCTGCCTGCGGCTGCCTGCGGCTGCCTGCCTGCTGCTGCCTGCTGCTGCCTGCTGCTGCCTGCTGCTGCCTGCTGCTGCCTGCTGCTGCCTGCTGCTGCCTGCTGCTACCTGCTGCTGCCTGCTGCTGCCTGCCTGCTGCCTGCCTGCTGCTCCTTGCTGCTGCCTGCTGCTGGTGCTGCTGCTGGTGGCTGCTGCTGCTGCTGTGGTGCTGCTGCAATCAAACAGCCTCCAAAGCAAGAAACAAACAGCCAGACACCCTTTTCGAAACACATCCGAAACAGCAAAGCACAACCTAATTTCGTGCCCAAAACGTAGCAAAGGAACCCCAAAAAAGGGCCTAACGTCACTTCTGAAACCCACTATAAAATTGCAACTTTGCCGCTGCCTGCCGCTGCCTGCTGCTGCTTGCTGCTGCCTGCTGCTGCCTCTGCTGGTGTCTGCTGCTGCCTGCTGCTGCCTGCTGCTACCTGGCCTGCTGCTCCTTGCTGCTGCCTGCTGCTGGTGCTGCTGCTGGTGGCTGCTGCTGCTGCTGTGGTGCTGCTGCAATCAAACAGCCTCCAAAGCAAGAAACAAACAGCCAGACACCCTTTTCGAAACACCTGCTGCCTGCTGCTGGTGCTGCTGCTGGTGGCTGCTGCTGCTGTGGTGCTGCCGTCGTGCTGCTGCAATCAAACAGCTTCCAAAGCCAGAAACAACTGCTGCTGCTGCTGCTGCAGCTTTGTGTTATTGGTTCCATGGCTGCAAGAATGTTGTTGTTGTTGTTGTTGTTGTTGCTGTTGCTGTTGCTGTTGCTGCTATAAAATAAAATTAAAATAGAATCTTGCTGCTGCCGTTGCGCTTACTGCTGCTGCGTCTGCTTGTGTCTGCTGCTGCCTACTGATGCCTGCTGCTGCCTGCGGCGGCCTGCTGCCTGCTGCTGGTGCTGCTGCTGGTAGCTGCTGCTGCTGTGGTGCTGCTGTCGTGCTGCTGCAATCAAAGAGCTTCCAAAGCAAGAAACAACTGCTGCTGCTGCTGCTGCTGCTGCCCTTTTGCGTGCTCTTGCCGATGTTCTTGACACCCATTGGTGCCATATAAAGGAGAAAATTGCCAAACGTGACGTCTGAAACCATATAGAAATATATACAAGAAAGATATATAGAAGTGCCTAACGTGTCGTCTGACATCCTAGAAAAACACAATTTTTCGACAGATTCTGCTGCTGGAGGCTGCTAGCAGTAAAACAGGTTCGAAAAAATCACCTCCCGGGGGGAAAACACCAGGGCTCTGAAGGACGAGCGAGTGCCAGAACCACGCCAAAAAAGTGTCTAACGTGTCGTCTGAAATCCTAGAAAAAGCTAGATTTTGGGTAGGCTGCTGGCTACTGGCTGTTGGCTGCTACTGGCGCTGGCTGCTAGCTACTGGCTATGTGCACCTTTTGCGTGCTCTTGCCCACGTTCTTGACACCCATTGGTGCTATATAAACGAGAAAACTGCCAAACGTCACGTTTGAAACCCTATAGAAATATATACAATATATATAGAAGTGCCTAACGTGTCGTCTGACACCCTAGAAAAACACAATTTTTCGATAGATTCTGTTGCTGGCGGCTGCTAGCAGTAAAACAGGTTCGAAAAAATCACCTCCCGGGGGGGGAAAGCACCAGGGCTCTGAAGGACGAGCGAGTGCCAGAACCACGCCAAAAAAGTGCCTAACGTGTCGTCTGAAATCCTAGAAAAAGCTAGATTTTTGGTAGGCTGCTGGCTACTGGCTGCTGGCTGCTACTGGCGCTGGCTGCTACTGGCGCTGGCTGCTAGCTACTGGCTATGTGCACCTTTTGCGTGCTCTTGCCCACGTTCTTGACACCCATTGGTGCCATCCTAGAAAAACACAATTTTTCGTGCTGCTAGCTGCTGCACTGCTGCCGTTGCGCTTACTGCTGCTGCGTCTGCTTGTGTCTGCTGCTGCCTACTGATGCTTGCTGCTGCCTGCTGCTGCCTGCGGCGGCCTGCTGCCTGCTGCTGGTGCTGCTGCTGGTGGCTGCTGCTGCTGCTGGTGGCTGCTGCTGCTGTGGTGCTGCTGTCGTGCTGCTGCAATCAAAGAGCTTCCAAAGCAAGAAACAACGGCTGCTGCTGCTGCTGCTACTTCTGCTGCTGCTGCTGCTGCCTTTTTGCGTGCTCTTGCCCATGTTCTTGACACCCATTGGTGCCATATAAATGAGAAAATTGCCAAACGTGACGTCTGAAACCCTATAGACATATATACAAGATATATAGAAGTGCCTAACGTGTCGTCTGACATCCTAGAAAAACACAATTTTTCGACAGATTCTGTTGCTGGTGGCTGCTAGCAGTAAAACAGGTTCGAAAAAATCACCTTCCGGGGGGAAAACACCAGGGCTCTGAAGGACGAGCGAGTGCCAGAACCACGCCAAAAAAGTGCCTAACGTGTCGTCTGAAATCCTAGAAAAATCTAGATTTTTGGTAGGCTGCTGTGGCTGCTACTGGCGCTGGCTGCTAGCTACTGGCTATGTGCACCTTTTGCGTGCTCTTGCCCACGTTCTTGACACCCATTAGTGCCTGCTGCCTGCTGCTGGTGCTGCTGCTGGTGGCTGCTGCTGCTGTGGTGCTGCTGTCGTGCTGCTGCAATCAAACAGCTTCCAAAGCAAGAAACAACTGCTGCTGCTGCTGC